TCTGTATAAGCAATTGGTGAATGCTGTATCAGGAAGCCACAGAAATTATTCAGCTCTTCCCAGAAATATAGAATTCTACAAAACAGGCTTAAGTTTATAGTCTTCAGTCTTTACTGACTCTGCTTTGTAAGTATATTCATTTGCAAGATAACAGTAAACTTTTGTTGGCTGTGACTATTGACATAACTTTCAGTAAATTAGTAGCGAGAGAGAGAAATTTCCGTGGAATTTAACTGTTAGTATGTGCATATACCTCTAAAAAGTGAGTAACCCCAGTCAGCTGATGATTATGCAGAACCTGCTGACTTAGATGTATACTCATGCAGCAATTTCAAAGCAAGTCTCTTTTATACTGTTGTTTCGTGTGCTTACTAATTCTATCATGACTTCCTCTATTTAATTGTTTGGTTTTAATGCATACTGGATGGAATTTGAGAATTTATGCAGCAGAACAATTTTTGGGTTCCCCTTACAGATGTTTCTCCCTTCTTTAGCCACCGTAATGTGATGATGAGACTGAACTTGCAGCTGACTATGGGGACTTTCTCTCTCTCTCTCTTTGGACTCATAGGAGTTGCATTTGGTATGAACCTGGAATCATCTCTTGAAGAGGTAAGGAATGAGTGCTGCTTTTATCAGTGACATAAAACATGGGCACTCTTATAGTGCATTTTACGTTCAGTACAACTCCATTTCAGACTTGCATTAATGTGTGAAGCAAGATAATGTAGCGTGGGGGTCTGTGTGTCACCTTTTTGAGAGCAAATTACTTCATGGCTAATTGCACAGTATAACAGGCTTTTTTGTCTATGTAATGTCCAAGGGAAAGAAATGAGAAGACAACAGTATAGTTGAAAAAGGACTAACTGTACAACAGTGTTCCTGTTTCTTTAGTAATCATCAGTGCTTCTGAAAAAAACAAGCTTTGTCTTCCAAATATAAAGCTATCTGGCAAGCAGCCAAGAGGGTGTTCCCTACACACCAGAGGAGATACTCTACGGTTGATGACATGGTTATTCCTATATCAAGGGTAGTATTTATAATTGGACGTGCTGTCTTAAAATGACTAAGTAAATAAAAACACAGAAAGACCTCTTCCTTTAAAGTCTATTAAATAGAAGTCCTTTAAATAGAAGGCTTGAATTTCCAAACTCTTGGTGAAGGATGGAAAACTGCATGGGACAGTAACAGAATACATTAAGGTGATTCCTAAATAAAACATTTTGCTATAAACCAGTCCTTTTCCCTGGTAGGGTTTGTCTGTTGGTAGTGGAGGGTTTACCACTTCCCTGCCATGAAGGACAAGAAAACTGGTGGGGAGTGACAGATGATGTTTGGATAAATCCCTGAAGTGAGAGTTGCCTAACTATTGGGGATGTTCTGTTTTTAGGACCCCAGAATATTTTGGCTGGTGACTGGGATTATGTTTCTGGGAAGTGGCCTGATATGGCGGCGCTTGCTTTCCTTCCTTGGGCGGCACCTAGAACCTTCACTACCTCCTCATGTACGTATGGCTGGCTAGGATTTCTGCTTCATACTCTGTATGTACAATTTATCTCTAAAGCAGCAAATAAGCAGTTGTAGAGGGGTGAGTCATAGAGCTTGCAGGGAGTTAAGCTAAGTCAGTGTTTCTTGACTTGACAAAGGAGAAGGTTCAGCCTAGCTGGACTGAAGGAGGCAGGAAGTCCAACTCTGGCAAAGATGTATTTGAGCAGTAAAATACTGTGTACTGTTGCTAAAGTGAAGCTGCAGGCTCTTTGAGAGATGTCATATTCACTTTCACCTAGCAGCCCAAGGGAAGCTGAGACTAATGGTAAAAGCAGCCCTAATTTGCCCTCTGAGCTCCTGCAGAAGTCCCTTTGTGGTGAGGGGCATAAGGGATGCTGTCCTCCTCTTCCATGTGCATACTAACTCTGTATCTGTGGTCCCTCACATAAAAGAGAAGATGAAAATAAAAGGAAGATGAGGACAGGTACTAGCTGCAACATCTCTCTGAAGAATGGTGCCATGGTTGTGATGTCCTGACTCCCAATCAGAAGTTTGCAATAGCCATCTTTGCCACTGATGCTGATGGCATTGTAGAGCCATGTCACCAAGCTGTACGAAAATTTCTAAGGAGGCAGACTTCAGACTAGCAAAATTTTGTATAAGTCATTTTCCATGTTCACTACCTTTTGCTACAAAAACATACAGGAGTGTATTGTCTGAATATATGGAGGAGTGTATGTTCTGAATAATTATAACAGAGAAGTATCAGTGGATTCAAAAGTTAAATTCCTACAAGTGACCAAAGAAAGAGAGACCAAGATAAAATCCCCTTTTTCCCTCCACTCTCTTGCTTGTTAAGAGGCAGATGGAAGTAGTTTGTTAATTGTTGACTATGGCTACAATTGACTGGATTATTCTTAAGTGTTGCTCAAGACTAAGACATACTGACTCTGGCTTGGAGAAATGTACTGAAAGGGATAGGAGGGAGAAGCCAGAGACTGTCCTTGAACATAAGAGAACAAGCAGGATTTGGACCTCTCTAAATCTGATTTCCTTCTCTTGTATATAGAAGAGCTTCTCCTGTAATTAAAGGCTATTTTGTATCTTGCCTAGGTTCCTGCTGTTTTGAGAAAATCCCAGCCAGCAGCTCAAAGAGTGGAAATAAAGAATGACCTTAAAGCAGAAACATTTGGGCTGAGCAGAAGCACGCTGACAAACCAATGAGAACAGCAGGAAGAAAGAGACTTTTACTGTTACGGGGCAGACTTTGGACACTTATATTTGTTCTTCCTTACTGAAAACCTTAAGAATTTCTAAACTTGCTAATTTAATATATATTTTATGCCAAAAACCTATGGTGAGATTTCAATACTTACACACAAAAAGAGGGAAAGAGCGACATGTTTTCCACAATAGTTTCACCTCCACTCCATGTATGTTCCATTAGATTTCAGTATCACATATACATACTCATTTTAAGTGTTTCTGTCAAACACTAAACTCAGGTAATGGCTTTCTAAAGAGCAGCATTAAGCATAAGCTTAAAGGATGACAGCAGTCAGCTAATTAATCAGTAATTCTTGTTCTGAACTGCAGGTTTAGCAACTTGCCTTCAGTTATCAAAGAAAAAATCTACCCCAAAAGTGCCCTTTTTTTCTTTTTTTTTTTCTTTTTTTTAAAGCCCTACTTAATTGCTTAGGAAAATGAATTCTCTCCAAAAAGTATACCTGCATCCCTTGTGAAGCACTACTTCAAAATTGACAGTAACCAAAAATAATACTTTTTTTTCTTATTTTAGTGAGCTTTGAAACATGACTACTTATTTTGGGTATTCTGTAACAATTACTTTAAGCCCAAACTGTATGTGGTTTTAATAGCTGGAAAAGCAGGTCCATTGACAATGCATGCTTGTGCCTGCCATCTGCCCCTATTTCGATATGCATTAACATAGCTGCAGTTCAACAGTTCCTCATGTCATAAGGACTGATTCAAATCCTGATGCAAATCATCAGACCAGTTGTTAAGTTGTTAGTTTCTCTTAAAAAAGAGAAAGCAGAACCGAGCTTCTTTTTGAGAAGGCAAGACAAAGGATGGACTAGACTCCACCACAGTAAGTAGCTAAGTTAGTTAAAGGGTATGCAAGCCTTGGGTCTTGTAATGGACTGGAGGAAGGAGTAAAATCTTTGTGGCCACTATTTGTGTTTTGTCCTTAGGACTTACCTCTGAACTCTCAGGGCATAGTTCTCTACTGGCTTCTGTCAGTCCACGAAGGGAGTATGAAAGTCTTCCAAATCAGGTTACTGTCTAGTTTTTTGTTTGGGGTTTTTTTAACCTCAGTAACATACAGTGAGTTGCTCCTTGGGTGCCACCAGACAAATCACTGTACTTGCAGGGATTGAAAAGAACCATAGCTGTGAACTCAAAACAAGTCCAGAATAGAAATAAAGAGTACAAAAATCAGGATTATGCAGGCCCGTGGTCTTTGTATGGTTTAAATCTGTTGTACTAAATTATTTTCAAATGATTGCTCTTGCTCTGTATGAGACTTCAACTACAGATACAAAAGGCATGAAAAGGTGAGAAAATTAATGGGCTTTGTAATGCTTTTAAGATTATAGGTGAACATTTTGCAGCCTTTAGTTGTAACAGGTAGAGCTGTTTAAAAAGAAAAAAAAAAAAAGAGCACAGGTCCTAAACTGAGCAATGTAGCGGAAAAAACAGTGGCTCTCATACTAATGCTGATAAACTCCAAGAAAGTGCAGTGAGAGAAGGGATACGGATGTGATGTTTTCAAGCAAGAAATAGTTGCATTAGGCCAGAACTCAAATGTGTTGATACAGCTGTTTGGGAGTCTTTCACGTATGCTTTCCAAGCTCTTTCCTCTGTACAGTGAGGCCTCTGCATAGTATATTGCCTCCTTTTCCTGTACATAAGTGACTTAAAGCAGAATAAAAGCACTGAGAGAAAGACAGTTCTGTTACAAGACTGCCTTTCATTTTACAGACCTATACAAACTTTTAATGGTTTTCATGCAATTCAAGTAATGAAATGAGTTAATGTGCAACAAAATTACCCAGAGATCATACATAGAAAAAATAAAGCCAGTGGAGACCGTATGTTAAGAACAGAATTGTTCCAGAACATACTGGTATCAACAATTTTAGTTTTAAAAAAAAACATTTTTTTTCTGCCCTTATAAATGCACTGCTTGTTTTGCCTCATACCACTATTTATAGATTTGCAAGGTAAGTACTGTGCTCAGTGCTCCCAGTTCCATCTGGTTACCACTTTCGTAAAGTTCAGTTTTCTAAGTAACAGCTGTGTGGTTATTTTTTCTATTATCTGAGCAAGTTAGGTCCCCAAAATAGATGGCAGAACACATCAAGCTAATGTTTACCTTGTCATCTTTTTTTAAAGACAACCTTCCTGAGAGAGAATTCTTAACAAGGTAAGTTGAGATGTGTTATCCTTGGAGTATGGCATTTAGAAAACTGTGTTATTCCACTGACTTGTGTTACTTAAAATAAAAGTAATGCCTTATGTTTGTGACAGAGGCAAGAATGATGAAATGCAGATACATACACGTCTGTGTATTAGTGTTGATAATAAGAGCATCACATTTTGCTGCTCAAGTTTTTTAATAGATACTGATGCACACTGTTAACATGTATCATACAATATTAGTGTGAGTTAGCTGAATCCAATACTGTTAGCAATAAAAGCACAATTCTAAGTTACCACGGTCATGGAATTTCACATAAAAACTTAAAAAGGGTATCAGAGTAGTCTCAGCCATGAGTGGAAAAGCAAAAGTATTTCCTACAACTTAATCACTTTTGCTTGCGCTGTTCTCCCTGGGAGACCCCAGCTGTTCTACGTCCTCAACGTGGGCCTCGAGACTTAGTAGTGACAGAGATGATCTTTATTGGCATCTACCTGTTCTGGGTGGCTGCCCTTCCTCTATGCTTATTCTTTTGACAGCAACTTTTGATGTCTTAGAACTCCTGTCAGTATCACAATATACTAGGAATGTAAATTATGTGTGATTCCATCTTGATTTTGTCAAGAAAATATTCACACCTGATCAGTCAAGGAGGTGACATGATAATTAGAGCTGAAGCTGACACAACCCCTCAATATAATTTATAGAGCCAAATATAGCCACCAGAATCTAGCCTTCTGCTCATTTCAAGTCTCTAAAAAGTCTTCAGACCAGCTTGCTTACTAGGTTGAGTGTTGCTACCACTCACAACAGAGTTAATATATCTACTTGCATGACTGACTTAGCTCTGGTTGTTTTGTAAGTCAAACCACCGTGATGGTTACATCCCTGTGATGGCTGTATTCCCTCCATCTCATGCTGGTGGCACTCTGGCTCAGGCATTGCTAGTAAACAGGCCTAATTGGATGCAAATGTAAAATCATACAGTCAAAGACCTGAACTCCTATGCAGAGCCAGTATAGTTGAGAAACTACAACTATGAAAGAGAAAAAACTGCCTGTGACAGTAAAAGAAATAATTTTGACTACAAGTCAACAACTTTATGCTATGAATATTTGCAGCCACTACAGCCCATTGTGCTCTCCTGCATAGCAGTGGGCTGCAGCAGTGATCTCCCCTTCGGCAGGGATGCCTCTCAAAGTTACTCCTAGAGGTTAGGAGAGATCACTTGCTTGGTAGTTGATGTTTATGGTGAGGTAAGCAACATTTCTGTATGCATTCTAGTTTAGCTAGTTTAATTATTAGGTGTGTACTAAGTAGTAGAGCGCTTGAGTGCTGCTAAACATTGATTAATAGATCTTTTGTTTAACTTCACAACAAGAATTCATTTCAGTAATTCAGCTTCAGTGATTCACCATCACTTAAAAACAGTGACCATCCCTTACTCCATACTATCTGGGACCCTACCTAGTTATCTAGGCTGTGTATCTACTAAAGTTTGCTGTTGTGGTCTTGTTGGTTTGTATGGGTTAAGGGAAAGTATCACAGATACTATAGAGATTCTTCACTAAAACACCACTTTTGCCCTGGTCTTAAAGATTACCATGACTGTTCAGAGTGAGTAGACAAAAAGCCTTCCACCAAGTCGAGCTTTCGCTGAACTTCTCTCTGCTGCCACTACAACTTCTTTCTGTGGAAATGGATATAGGAGAACAGTTAGCAAAATGCAAGTACAGGTTCATGATTGCCCTAAGCCTCCCTAATAGAAACTGGATTTTGTCTATTTATTGTTAGTGTCATATAGAAATGTGATGAGGAGAAATGGGAGAGCAAACCACCTCATCAGAATAACAGTTAACAAAACAATTTGGCCAACAGACCTCTTCCACCTGGGGAACCGGAAAAAAATAGAACTAGTCAAATGTTTTGCCAGCACAAACTTTCTCAGGAGCAAGATCAATACAGATAAAGCTGGAGCGTGGACTGGATTGGTGCCATAGCAGAGGAACACAATTGCTTGGAAAACTTCCATACATGCATTCACACGACAACCATCAGCAATGTCTGTTGTGAGTGTTGGATTACACACCCTAACCTAGCTTAGATGCATTTGCATTTCTATGTGTTTCTCCAGTGTATGATTTAAGAGGAAGAAGTCAAACGCCGTTTCTCGAAGACCAGTTGCACATCTCCTCAGCCTACTGCTGAGGTGTTCTTACACAGGTTGCATCAGACTAAGTAGAACATTGGACTCCCCTGAGCTGAACAAGCACTAAGAAAGCGGGTGCCTTGTTTACAGTACAGCTCAGCAGCCACTTTGCATACAGGTTGGTTTGAACAGTAAAGCTAACTAGCATTTGTGCTCATTGTGCTAGGACAACCTTTCAGGAAACTCCCAAGTAGCCAGATTTCAGGTAATTTCAAATTTGGCACCCTTTCAATTCGGGTGCCAAAATTTTGACAACTCCGCAGTTCATGCACCTATAAAATGGTTTTAATTATCAGCAGAGAGTGACTTAAAGGAGAACTTAACTCATGATGTAAAAGCACTTTGGACTTCTGCAAATGAGTAAGATGTGAGGTGTTGACCAGTATATGCAAGTGAGATAGACGTAATGAAGCAACAGCAGCAATTATTTTTCTTACCTTTCTTTCAGATTTCACAGTGATGACAGAACTCCCAAATCTTGACTGTTCCTGTAAGATAATGTTGCTGGTTATAATTCTGTTTTTAAAGTGGATTTTTTTTTTAATTTCTTGCAGCAAATTGTTTTCCATTTACTCACCTCAGGAGAAATCAGCACATACTGTGCCTGAAGAGAAGAAAAAAAAAAAAGTGAGTGGAGAGAAATGCACTAGGAGAGTAAAAGCCCAGTGCAATAACCCTGGATCCTAAACAGGAAAGAAACTTGACAACAAACAGGAAGAGCCAAATTACACAGGTTCAGAAACACAAGTAACCTTCAGTTTTCTGAAACCAAGCACAGCATGCTGGTTATCTGCATGGGAGGTATTAATTTACCTGTCAGTACATGATTAGGCCATGATTTCACTTTTATCATTTCTTACCCAATCCTCAGGACAGGGAGATATCCATGATTTACAGTGGTCTGTTACGTTCCCTGAGGATGCCTGCTTTCCACTGTAAATGTAGACACGGCCAGCTGCCCCACCAAACAGTACCGTGGTGATATCATTAGTTCGCAGTGGGGATGTCACAATCATTTCATCTGCAAATAGTACAAGGATGATACAGGACATCAGAAGTGAAATAATGCTAAGCCAAACCATGAGAGTTGACATTTGTGTATCTCTAAATGCAAAAATTCCAGTTAAAATGTTTCAATTTCTGTCTACATTGTTTGGGGTTTTAGAGATGCCTCCTCGGAAGATAGAGTAGAATATTTGTGCCGGTTAACTGAGGCAGAAGGCTGGGCTTAGCACTTGTACAAATACGCAGGTGACTGGTCTTCCTGTTGCAATGAATAAAACATTTCACCTCTGTAATCTAGATTCATTTAACTTTACCTAGTCCGTCATTATCCAGGTCACTTAGGCATATATCTCCTCCAAAGCGAGAAAACCTCCTGTCCCCACTGAATGTGCTGAGCAAAGAAGGCTTGGTGCTGTCTGTCAGATCATATACCAGAGCTAGTCCAGCTTGGTGCAGCACAGGAGACAGAAATGAAATCCTAGACAGGCTGTCTAGGGGAAAAAAAAAAAAAAAGTAACAGAAGTTGACCATCAGACATAAGAACTCAGGCTTAGTACTTGAAATACCTTGCAAGAAGGTAATATTGGCATTATGCAACATGGACAAACAGTATCATTTAAGAACCAAGCATCAAATGTTACAGGACAGTAATGCCAGTTTGCACAGAAACAATCTCTTAGCAATACGAGCAGGGAAAATAGACATTCATTTTAAAGGACAGATATTAGAGTTCTCTATTTTGATATGCATTTCCTTACTGCCTACTCCCAGAGTAAGCACAAAATACTATGTTTTACTTCCAAGAAATTTGCAGTCTACTAGCAAATCACTGCTACATAAATAATGCAAAATAACAGACACTGTTAATAGAAGCTATTTTTAAAGGAAAAACAAACAAACAAAAAACATTGAAGTTTGGCACAGTATAGAAGTCTCTGAAAAAAAAATGCAAGTCACCTGTAGGTGATTACATTAATTATTTCTAAATTTTTTAAATATTTAAAAATTCTATGGCAGCTAAAATGTCTCTTTTCCAACTTTTAACTTTGTTTCTATTCTTCACTCATACAGAAAGGAATATACCAAAGCAGTAAAAGGTTCCAGTTTTCAGAAAGACATACCTGTAGTAGGTGCACCCACCACCAAAACTTTTCTGTTGATTCCAGCCACAGACATCACACCACTGGCCAGAGACAAACCCATTCTGCCCATTGCCTGTTAGATTTTTAGAACACTTATGTAATTTTCACAGAATGTCACTTTATTTCAAATTATGTATAAAGTACTATACTATATAGAGAGCCCTACCTTGTCTCCAGCTACTGCAAACCGATACTTTGTGCTTGGTGGGTTATATCCATACACCTTCCCAACACTCTGCCTGACATCCGATGAGAAGAGATCGCAGCTTGAATTAGAATGTAAAATATATTTGTATATAGTAACATTCAGATTTCTGTAGATTCAGCCATGATTGTTCATCTTAAAATATTTTCCCCTTTTACTTTGGAATAACAGTGGCAGCTAAATCCTAGAAATTTATTTTAGTAATCCCATGCTTGTTTTAATGAGTTACCAGACATTTTGGGCACAGACTTTGTCTGTCCATCCACTTCCTTAATATCCAATACATTTTTGCATTTGGCTTGCTTATAAAAACATCAGTACTATTTGTAGGATTATTTTAGGCATTCCTACTTGGCGTTTTTGTGACCCCTTCCGCCAAGAAAACCCCAAAAGTTCCTAAGTGTCTCTAAAAGCAAAGACCCCCTCTGTAAATACACAAGGAAGGGTAAAGGCATAAAAATACGAATAAAAGTAGTCTAAGAAGGACAAAGAGGAAAGTTCCTGAAAAGCAAGAAGTCTAATCTAGTACAAATCTTTACCAATGTAGGGCAGGATAGAGGAGAAATAAAGCAATCATTTACAACACACCCAACACAGCTCTTCCACGTAGGGCTACCAATCAGCAGTAACGTTACATTCTCCAGTTGGCAGCTGTCAAGCGAAAATCCAAACCAAGCATAGTTTTCTTCCCCCTTCACCATCCAGTCAGCATCCTCTACAGACAGAAGTCCTGACAGATCAGAAAAGTATTAATTAAATCTTGGTGTAACCTGGCATACAAAATTCTATTAGCAATCATCCAGCGTTTCACCCTACAATGAGAAGTTTCTACAAGTAGTTCTACCACCTGTGATATGGCACCAGTTACTGCTAACTTCACTGCACAGCAGCACTCAGTCTGCAATTGTACTCTGGCGAAAGCCTTCAGTCAGTACAGCCTGCTTCTAAAGCACTGCAATAGCCTACACAAAGCACACAAAGGCTATCAGTCAAGTCTGCCATGAACTGATGGGTCCTTCTTAGGGATGAGGCAAAATTGAAACTGTTTATCAGAATTTGTAATTCTTCCCAGGTGGGGAGGGAGCATCAATAATTATGGTTTTAATTCAAGTCATTCATTCTGTGTTTTAGTTATTAAAAAAAATGTCAGGGGTGTTTTGAAATGTAAAATCCATTTTGGTTATGGTTTCTAATTTTACATGAAGTAAAATACACTAAAAATTTAGTAGGAGTTATTGGAAAACTCATTTATGTGATTCTGATGAAGCTTTAAATATCTGCATATCCTGCCTCACCGCTGCTAACTTTATTTAGCTCTATATGTGGCCTTCCTCATTCACAACAATCTCCATCACCTGTACTCATTAACTGCATTCACCTGTAGCATTCCCCTTTGTCCGCATGAAGGAGCACACAATAGTAAAAATTCATCTCTCAAGGTACATACGCAAATTTCTAAGGAAGATCTTTCAAGTTCTCCTTGGTATCACCAAGATACAATTGAATCCATTGCTTCTTTGCTTTCACATAGTCATTCATTTACACTTGCCTCACTAGTTTGTAGTTTTATCCATGTGCCAAACTAGTGACTTTAGCAGGCCTATCCACCTCAGATACTAAAATCCAGGACTGCACTCCTAGAAGGAAGAATTCACCTTCCTATGATGTACATATACATAAATTCTCACTAATCAGACAATCAGCATATACTGAGCACTTTTGATTACCTTTATTAGTTAGGCATCAAACTCAATTCCTCAGAAACAGGTAAGTTTAATTTTATGTTTTCTTCATTTGAATCACCAGACATTTAATTAAAGACTAACCTTTTAGTGAAATTTCTTGAAATAAACTCCATGAGAAGAACTACTGAAGCACTCAAGAATGTGAGACAACTGTTAAATTCTTCAAGACAGAGAACTGAAATTGAAAAAGCACTACAGAATTCTCTCTGCAACAGACTCCAGTTCTTATGAGAGATTTGATCCTCCCTCACATGTGCTGAAAATATGGCAGGATGCACACAGACATCATTTCTAGAAGGTGTCAGGAGTAACTTCTCATTATAGGCACTGGATAAGCTAACCAGGGGTGATGCACAACTTGATAAAATGAACAGTCATATAACATAAGACGATTAATTTGCTCAGTAACTACCTTGGTCACTCCTGTTGAAATGAGAATGAAATGCCACCACAAATCCTCTCTGCTGCCCACTACCAGGTGCATATGGAGAGCCAACAACCAGATCAGCATTTCCATCCCCATCAATGTCAGCTGCCAGGAGGGACCAACCAAGGTTACAGTAGGAATACTGTAATAAACAGTTAGTTTAACACAGAAATGGAACTTAAACCATCAATTCTGTAACAAAACAGAGGGGTTTACTACTAAAGGGCTAACTTTGTCTGCTTCTGATCAAATTACCCTCCATTAACTCTTTTTTTTTTTTTTTCCAGAGGGCTGTGTATCCTTTTGTTCACCCAGCTCCCTCCCCTTCACTGAAGTACAGATGTCTTTCCCACATACAACCAACCTATGCAAACATCTGCTTCACCATCCCCAATTACATGTCTATATTCCCTTGCAATTAGAAGTCTGATTTTAACATTCTTTCTTTAAGCTCACAGGCTCTTTTCCTCTTTACCTCACCTCCTGCTTTTGTAGCCCTGCTTTAACCTGATTAATGTACCTGACAAGTTATGGTAACATTTGGTTGAGATGGCAAGCCTCTTCCCTTAGTTCCAAAATAGACATACACAGCACCCTAAACAGCAGGAAAAGCAAACACAATATGAAAGGATTTGTAAGGCAGCACCAAGTATGAAATACAAAACAAAACAGTCCGCAAGGACTATTAATACAACTGCATTTTTCTATTAGAGTCGTCTCATAAATTTGTCTTTTCCACCCCAAACCTAAAAATATTCATGTTGTAATTAACACTGCTATAACCAGGCAACAAACTAAGTACAGAGAAGTACATTTTCATCATACTGTAGTTTAGGAGCAAGGTCAGTATACTGTATATACTATGTTCATTACACGCATGTTCATGTGGCTCTAATTTTGTTGACAATTAGTTAATGCAATCAGAGGCAGTGCCAGCCACAACAGATGTATGTAATTTTCCATGCCAGTGGGCCTACATACAAGCATTTAAATTCCTACTTAGGAATAGGAAGCTAAGTCAGTATCAGAAATTCTGAAGAGTTTTAAACTTAATGGAAGTGGTTTAATGTAATGTATTTTGTCTCTCAATTCAGGTGGGCTGAAAACACTCAAGCCATTACATGGGCTAATTTGGCTGCAAGTCATTAGAACTCTCTAATTTGGTTACTTTAGGATGTGTCTGTGTCCATATCATATGTTAGATATCAACTGTTGACCTGTGACAGTGAATGACAAGGCTCACTGACATGAGGTCCCTTCTAGACTCTTTGTTCTTAGAAAGCAAATAGTACACTCAGACGCCATGAATAGCTCCTTATGTTTCCTGCACATCAGTGCTTCAAAACTGCAATCTGATTTGTGCCAAAAGGCCACTGAAAGGGAGATAGGGATAACTTTTATTGATCTACTCAAAAGTACAACAAAGGCTACAAACCTTTGTTTTCATATTACACCTTGAGACACAATAGAAATTCTTTAGTCATTTCACTATAAAGCATGTGCATGACTTACTTTGTAAGTGAGAAACTGAGATCCCACAGAAGGTGCTCCAATTGCCAGATCTAGCACTCCATCCTCATTAAAGTCCAGGACTGCCAAGGCAGACCCAAATCTGCCTGAAGGCTAAAAGAAGAGGGATTGCTCTCATGAAAATAACATGCTTTAAAGACAAAACTATCAAAGCATAATGCACATTTACAATCACAGTGCAAGAAAAAAATGGAAACAGAGATAATAAAAACCCATCCCCCAAATTCTTAAGATTTTCTTAGTATCACTGTTCTCTCAAATAATAACCACCATACCAATACATTAATTGGGAATGGGCTGTTCTCTTTTGGGTTATGGGGGTGTTAGAATATAAGCTAACTGATACAATGAGGGACTGCTCTGGTATTTCCTCTTCTGAGCCTAGTGCACCGCTGACTTTATGCTTACAATCTCTGCTGCTAGTAGTATTACAACTGTGAGCCACTACAATACTGTAAGAAGACATCAGCTGTTACACCACAGTTTATAACCACAAAAACAGATTACAAGGAAATTTATCTCACCTCTCTCTAATCTCTTCTGTTCAAATAACTGTATTTTCAACAGAGGATCAACTTCATTACTCAAACAGATCATTTGATCCTGCTTCTCAGTTACAAGTCAGTCACCAGCCTGCCAAATCATGGTTTTCTCTATTTTCTTATGTATCATATAGTCTTACTAAAGATAAATAGTGGTTTTGTGAGAAGTTAACAATTCATGAAAAAATGCAGCTTCAAAGGAATTGAGACTCATATTAAACTAATAGTTTTAGGTGAAAAAAGAAATTCACACTACTTGCTTATATGCAGGGAACTGAACAAGCTATATGGTGTCGTACAGAGAATCTATCTCACTCTTAATCAAGGGCCTATTTTGTTCTCATACCCATTTATCTGGCAGAGTAAAATAACGGAATGTACAGATCAATATTGCTTTAATTGTTCCTGTGACTGAAGTTACAGTTATTTTTCTTGAAATGTATAATATATCCTTTTACCAGAATTTACCACATTCAGTCAAAAACTAAAAAAAGGGGGCAAGTATCTGACGACCCCTCACCTGATGACCCTCCAGTACTTCATCTGCTTTCCCATCTAGATCCATGTCCTCTGGTGGCAAACCTGAGTGATTGCCATAGACTATATACACCCGTCCTATCTGAATATGGCCCAGGGTGCTGTACCCTGGTGCTCCAGCCACCAGATCTTCATATCCATCCTGGTTTAGGTCAGCTGAAATCACTGCCCTGTACACCAAGAGAGCCAACAAAATCATAGGATTAGCTGCCAGACTACCACTAAATTATCAGAAAATAAATATTTTTACTTCCAGGTAAACTGAGATGTGTCTTACATTTTTGTAAGAATCTACATAGCATTTTTCCTATTGCATAGTTTATTTTTGTTTTCTTGAACCAAATAAAAACAGAGGTTAATCTTCTGTTAACGCACCTGACATTCTTATGGACTGCTTTTTTTACTTACTGACACAAGGCATCTAAGAGCAATCAGAACAAGAAGCATGAAAAAGGGGCGCTTGCATACAACAGAATACAAAAGGTGAAATGAACTACCATTTTAGCTGAACCTTGGATTTAATCAGTGGACATTACAGTAGATAAGCAAATGGAAGATGGTTCTCAGTAATGTGGTGGAGGTTAGACAGGGAAAGTGTAGAGAAAATAAGTAACCACCATTCATTTGGATGGTTTGAAGTAAACTCAAGCATTAAGCCTTCAATGTTTGAGTCAGAAGAAAAAGAGCAAGATGAGCAGCAAAAAAAACATTTATTTCATTCCTCTTCTCTGCAGCATGTAAAGATAGAACCTCTCTGGAAAGAAGAGAGAACATGCCTCTTTCTGTGGCACCTTTGAACTCCTTATTAATCTTCTGGAGTTTACAAAACACTCAGTTAGGCATGATTCAGGACAGACGACTAATTTGGTGTAATGACCAACCAATAACCAAAAAAGAGTAACAATCTTCCTATACTGTTCAGAACTAGAGCTGATGATGGTCCTAATTTTGCTTCTTTTCATTCTGAATAATGAAAACCCTTTCAAAGAAAAAACTTATTTGACTAGAGTTTACATCTGAATGGAACTTTTGCTCTTTACAGTTTTATTCAGTATTGACACAAAGAGGCTTATGCTAACATTGGAAAGAAAAAAGGGCCCTGTCTGTTCACTTGTAGCTCTGTCTAGTCAACATAAGCCACTCTGACAGATTTGTGCCACCAACTGATTTGGAGTTTCGTCTTTAAAGAGCATCCAAAGAATAAAAAACAGTATTTTGGTCAGTACTCAACATTTTCAGAAATTAGGAGTGGGATGTGAGGAAGAAAAAAGTACCAACCATCCAAGTCTAGCATATGGTGAAGTAAGAAAATATGAAGCTGCTGGCTTGGAGATGTACTTAGAGGATTCTTGATGTGTAGATGCTAACACTCTCCAGACATTTTTTGCAAAAGCACGGTTTATGTATTGAAGGGAATTCTGAAATAAAAATAATAAAGAGACACAAGAATTCTTAAAACACAGGCTGAAACTCCATAACAGTACATACCACATCAAAATCCATGTCACCATCAGTGGAAATTATCACACTGATCAAAGTATACTCTGACTCGAGTCATAAGCAGTATTTTAGATAGAGACAAAAATCTGTATGCCCTAATTGGAACATTCCTAACTACTCACTGCTATTCTTAGTTGGGATTTCTTAGCCCCCAGAAGTTACCATGATTCCATAAAAACTAAAAATTAAAGATATATTTTGTCATTTTTGGCACTGTAACTTTGCTATAAAATGAGGAAAGTGTAAAAAAACTAGTATTTATAATGTACTTATTGGATACATTATATACAGATTAACAATGGCAGATGGAATTTCCATGAAGTGAAGTCAGAGGCTTCTGTTTACATTCAGAGACCCTGCTCCATCACACAGCATCTCAGACAGAAATTAAAACAGTTTTATACAGAGCTGAATTTTACCTGACATGTGTCACTTCTCACTTACTGTTGCCCAAGATTGTATATCAAAGTGAACTCCTCTCTCTGTATACTTTATTTTCTTTTCAAGAGTATTTGGAAGCAAAGAGGTCGTGTTCTTGCGATGTTCATTTTTTGATTGCTTGTTTCTGTTAAAATAAAGAAGGTAGTAATAACAAAGCAACTGAATTAATGACATGCATATGTTACGACAAAGGTAGAAGAAGCAATCATATCACATGAAATCAGATGGCCATTTCTCCCATTGAAAAAGAGAGGTCTCAAGAGATAGCAGTTAAGCTCAAGTAAAGTCATGGGTTTTATGTGTAGCTAATACTGGCTAAGTATTGAGACATTTATATAATTTAACTTCATTGTCATCATTTATTTGGCATGTTCCACTTATCAGTAATATTCTCAAGGCACTGAAAAATGGGCAAGAAAAAACAATTTAACCTTCTGAATACAAAATTACTCAAGCTATGTGGCTGTTTCTTAACTTCACACACCTAAATTATTAAATTTAATTTGTTGGTATACTAACATTCTACCATTCATCTGCACTCATGTCAACTATTTCCTGTATTTCCCTAGAATTATTCTTTCCCAACACGAGTCTATTACCATCTGTCCACTGACCAGAATTCTGCTCCAGTTTATGGTCCTTCCAGTCCTATTGACTGTGACAAAGTCCTAGTGACTTTGTTTGTACAAAATATTTTCATATATAACAGTGTTAGTTGAAGACAGTATCTGAGGGCAAGAACTCTTTGCACAGCTATAGTAAAAACTTGAAGCTAAAAACTAATTTCTCACAAAAAGAAAACAATAGAATAAAGGTCATTAAGCTCTCAACCCATGAGGCTTCCACATAACATTACATTTCACAACCCATTTACTAATTGAGCTCCAGTCACTGCTGCTCTTTTCACCTATATCTAGGTATTATTTTTCTTTTTTTTTTTTTGAGTGAAAATATTTATAATAAAGTAAAAGACAGACTTTAATGGTTATCTCTCCACTTCTGTGCCCTCTCTTTCTCAGCATGGCAATTTACAAGCATGCACTGCTGTCTCTGACAACGTGATTTTTATCACTTCTTTTTGTTCTTAATTTCCTTCCCTATCATTCTCTCCCTGTGGATCTCTGACTAACTGATTCCACTGTCCCAATCCAACTGAAACAGAAATTGTAAATTGAGCCATTAATGCTTATCGCAGGAAAGCTAAGAAAACTCTGATTTCTGTTACCAAAATAAAATTCAGAAGAGTTCATGTTAGTCCTGTGGTTTTATTATTATGCACTAAAAAAACCTTGTCAAACAAACATGCTCCTTAAATTGTAGTCTTCAAGGGGAGGAAAGTGATCCTTGTAAACAAATTACAATCTAGCATCCCCATACAACCTTACAGAACTCTACAGTTGTAGTTCAATGAAAATTAAATTCACCAGTATCAGCACAAGAGGTGCTTTCTCAAGGGAAGAACATAGTCATGGAAGATGTTTGCTAGAGGAATACATACACTCCTTGTGCTCTGAACAGGTGATTTCTATATTGCCAAATAAAATGTGAAGATTTTGCGCTTCAGGTACTAGGTAAGCATTCTTGTTGTTAGGCTGGAAGGTAAAAGCTTATCCCAGGTTCTACACAGTTCCTGTTATGAAGCCTGTTTATCCATGTTAAGACAATCTCAAATTCATACATAAAAAGGAAAAATAAAGTAATCAGAAGATCTCTACTTTTCAATAGCTCACCATCCACCATCAGTGGAAAACTCTCCTTTCACCAGCAGTAAGTCTTTGAACCTTCAGAGCTATACTTACATGTAGCTGTCCTTGTGCTCCCTTGTGCACTTTATAAACAGAGGATTCTCAGGCAGGAAACAGCCACTAAAGAAATATTCAGAATGTGTTTTGAAGATCTTCTTGCAATACAAGTGGAACTAAAAATTCAACTTTTATCCTTACTGATTCCTCTGTTAGAGGGCATTACCTCTCTCAAAAAGCCCTGAGTAATCAAATTCAGTGCAACATTATAATCCTTAGAAACTCCTTCGATATTTATCTAAGTGACCTTGATTAATCTCTTAGGTTCTATATGAATCTTGCATGTCTCTACATAACTCCTAAATGAAACTTCCTTGAGCATGCCCTGACAATTCTATTAATGTTATTAATAGAACTTATAGAATAGAATTAATTAATTCTGATGATCTTTTAATAAAAGTGACATTTTGGAACAAAGAACTCAACAGATTATGCCATATCATATTTCAAACATTATTTCCCAAAATATCTGTGGTGACATTATCCACATAAAAGTATGGATTAATTCCCACTACTGCTCTCATAAAGTTATCTACAGTAAAGCTACACTTGTACAAATGCAGTAAAGGGCCAGAACTCCAATAAAATATACATTCTGAGTGCAAACCTGAATATTTCAGGTGAACATCCAACACTGGAACATATATTCTTACTCCTTCTAATCCTACCTGCCTGCAGTGTATGAAGGCAGTATCTGACCTCTCTTGGGATGGGCCATCTTTGCTGGCTGATGAGCGCAGCCACAGGGTGCAGGCACAGCTCAGATCACCAGTCCAGGAAAAAAAAACTATGCTGCCATGCAGCATTTTAACATGCCCCTGGGTATGTCTCAAAGAATGTCCCAATTTTCCCTGTCAAGTACTGGCTGGCATGCCAGAGCCTTGCCTGGGGAAAGGAATGTGAACATGTCACAAGTGCAAATTCAAGGCCTATGTCTTCCTGTGCACCTGGTTAAAAGAGAGAAAGAAATCCCTTTGCCCACATGAGGATTTAAAGTTCATCACCTATTCTAGGAAAGTACCTGCCTTCAGAATAATTAAATGTGTTGAACTTGAGTACTACATTTCATATTGCAGGAAACACAATTATACCTGGTTCCATTCTCTAGCATTTGGCTCGTCAGCTCAAAAATATTGTTTGTCCAGAATGCCATGTCATCCACTCCTCCAAGGAAATACTCATGGAACTTCTCCACAAGAAATGGAGATTTACTAGCGTATCTTGGAAAAAGCTAAGAGACAAGCAACATACTAAGTAAGATAGATTGCACTGTCTTCATGTTGTATGTTCATTTTTATTAAAAAAGAAAAAAAAAAAAAAAAAAAGAAAAGAAAACCAACCTTCGCAACAGCAAGCCTTTCTCCATGTCTGAGAAAATAAATAACAATTCTTCAGAAACAAGCAAGTCTCATTTAATGATATTTCATTATTTAAAAGGTTCTTTTTGAGGCTTCTATACTCCCGAGTATAGTAAATACTATGTAAGTCATTACATCTTCCTGTTGGTTATCAATATATTTTTAAAAGCTAACTTTAATGCAGCTCTCAGTTTGGAGGGATTCACGGTGTTTTTAAATATTTTAATGCTTGGCTATTAGTTATTAACTGAAATAAAGAATACATCTAGGCTGTTTAGGATCTTCAAAAGCATACACCAACAGATATTAAAAAATATATTAGCTTCTTATCTCCATGTATTATTCTTGGATTTGAATGGATCTACATAAAGTGTAGGAAAACTGTCAATTTAGGTAGGCATACTACTCCTTCAGTACATGAAAATTATATTGCTAACATGCCACAGTGCAAGAGTACTTGAAGACATAGTTGTTCTTAAATAAACAGGCCTAAATATGTTAAACATATAAATGTTTTAAATAGCTAAGACACAGATGCTATGGTGTAATGATGAATTTAAGCAGTCCAAATTTGTATTCTAACCTTTAGAAAAAATCAGGTATCTTATGATTTTGGGGGTCTAGGAGGAAGGCTGGATTGCTGGCCTCAATGTATAAATTTGTAAGCTAGCATTTCAAACAGGATTATCGTAATTTTCCTACATAAGTTTCACTTATGAAAACCCACACAAAGCTACCCAACTTACAGTTCGAGAAACAGCAGGTAAGTACAGTCAGTAATTGTGCTTTCAGTTATGATCTCTCTTCCATAAAATTCCTCATAGATAGAGGCTAGGTCTTTGACAGGCACGTACCTAAAAACAAGACTGAGGTATTGTAACCAGATTTTTTTTCACATCATCTGGCAAAAGGTAATTCAGCTTCTATAATAACAGCCAGTTTTAAAATATTCTGTATTTCAAAAGACTCCGTAAGGCGATCAAGATTTACAAATGCCAGAAAGATGAGGATTGCACATAGAGTTGCACTCTGCAGCAACACTCTCCTGCCATTTGGGTCAGTCAGAAACCTGGCTATTGCTCGTGAGTTTCCACACTCCCTCCACTGATCACCTGGCTTGGTGATCACATAATCTTGGTGGATGTTCTCCAACTCTCCTCTGTTGCCAAACCTATTCCCATCCAAATCTAATCCTAGCCAAACAGACATTGCTGATTCTTCCTATCTCAACATTTCTCATAAATGTGTCAGAGCTGATAAAGTTGATGAGTTAACTGTCTATGCCTTCTGCACATAGATGAGCTACATACTATCTAGACAAAACAAGACTCAAATGACCTACTTTGTCAGCAGAAAAAAAAAAAAAAAATGTAATTTTTTTATTTTGGTTAAAAAGTATAAGAAAAACACCATCTTTATCTAAAACTGTTGCTTGTTTTTTATGCTTTTAAAATCTGTCTGAATTCCTCAGCATCCGTAGCCATAAACATCCTCAATGTCCAAAAATTAAAATGGAAATCTGATTGAGATATTACCACTGAGTTATTTAAGTAATTGCTAGGATATTCCAGCAAACTTTTTTCATTGATTATTTTACCTGTAATTACTTATAACTTCCTTCAGAAATGAACAAATCAGTCTCTCTTGCTGTGTTTCTACATGTAAAACTATTTTTTCTTCTGTCCTCCCAGTTTTTTATGTCAGGGAATAGCAAATACATATATGAAGAATACCAAACTGAGGAAAATTCCAACAGTTGCAAGGGGTTGGAATAAAAGATATAGAAGGACAGCATTTTATTAAAGCATAGTGACAATATAGAATAAGCAGAAGTAATCACTAAAGAAATTAACCTCTACTGAAGCTCATTTTCTTACCAATTTGATGCCAGATAACCAAAGTCCAGCTCAAACTGACTTAGTACATCTCCTCCTGCAGATGGAGGAATAAAAAATAAAAATAAAAAGTCAAGAAACTAAACACAAGAGTATCTAACATAGATAACAGTATGAATGGATCTATCTATGGCTATGCTATCTATTTTATATGGTATCCAGCTGTATAATGCTTTGTCATTTAGAATACATGAATGGTTCACCTGAAAGTGTACTGTATATTTTGTACTTCCAGAGAATAAGAAAAAAGGTGTCAAATTTAAAATCAGAGAAGTGACTCCATTTAACTTTTAGCATCCTTCACCCTGTGTTTTTGGCTTTCAGTACAAGTGTACATATGCCCTATTGAATCTCCTGAAACACGGAACACACAGACAGGGATAGGAGGGTCTTACAAACTATGGGACAGAGTGAGAATCCAGTGTCCATATGACTAATTCTTGGCTCCTCCATTGCACAGGATAAGAGCCAGAATCATCCACTGTGGTTTTGAAGTGGACTAGTTATCCCAACAGAAGGATCTATGATCAGCAAACAGAAACATTACCAAAATCACCAACACTGTGAGCTTCTGAGTATGAGCCATGAAAATCAATCTGGAGGAAGAAAAAAAAAAAAGAACTTTCTGTTCATTTTACTCATCCTTCCATACAAACATGAGAGCAGAATCAAATTGTCCAAACAACTCTAAAGCGTGCAGGTCCCAAACCTGACCTACTTCATTCATTACATGTCTCTGAAAATTTCCCTGAATCAGGGTTCCAGCTTTTGTCTCCTTTCCGCACCAGACTCCAAAGCTGGGCTATTAACTCCAATAATTCCAGTCACATCAATAAAATAATGCAAGCTTACCTCTCCCATGGCTTTTAGAAATCCTTGGTCAATGCCCAGGCTATGCCAGCTAACATCTGCCACCATATGTGAGGCAATTCCAAACAGGAAAGCCACCAGCTTCTCTGTAGCCTATACAACAACAACACACATGTTGTAACATCAATAATTTTACTCCTGTCTTTAAGAAGATGAGCATTTTAAGTGAGCATTTCATGTCAGTGTGTTATACAAAACTATAATGGAGTCTCTTACCGTCCAACAGACTAGCACAACAAAGCATTGAGCACTCGTTTCTTGATACTGGAGAACTTTTTTTGTGACTTGACAACCTTTATGCACCATATACAGTTCAAGAACATAGAATTACATGGCTGATGTCAGGACAACTTGTCTACCTCAAGTTAAATGTGTTTTTTGGCATTGGAGACAAACTCTGCCACTTCCGAGGAGTGAACCTCCTCTGCTGCCATGAGTACAGAGCAAAGACACATGTAGGAGAGAAAGACATTCCTGTGCAAGTGCTTTTCACTGTAAAAGCACCTGATTAAATCCCAGATACGAAGATACTCATTTTATTCCTACAAACTGAAAAGTTATCTGGAATAAACTTATAAGCAACAGAAAGTTCATTTCCTCAGAAAAGATTTATCTGCATTGAATCATTATCAGTTCCAGAGACCTTTTAAAAATCTGTAATTGAATCACAGTTTTTGATGAATTTATACTTCCTGAAGGTTAATAGTTTACATTTTAGTATCACTAAGGGCCAATCAAAAGGCAGGCAGACTTCATTACATTTTAAGGAGTGCATGCTCACAAATGCTGCTCCAACGGTATGATTTTCCTGTGCACGGAGAGAACGGCAAATTCTCCAATAAGGGAAAGAAAACAATATGACCTTTAAAATCATTCTCACTTCTGACAATCTGTTCTTCCTCTCCTTCTAAGTAGCTCATATACCATAAACAAGAGCAGATCAGGACTAAGTCCAAGATTTCATAAGCGTGAATTCTAAACCAGGCCTGGTTTTCAAATGGCAAACATTCAATTGGATCTGGCAACAATGCAAGGACCCAAAACCACCAACTGCATTTGAAAATTTGGACCTATGAATTATATCATAAGCACCAGAACACATTGAAGATAAATAGATTATATATGGAAACCAGTAACCTTTTTTTTTTTTTTGTCTGGTAAAGATGGAAACAGGATTTCAAGTCTTCCTGTATCAGCAGACATTTTAATTCAAAAACATTATGTATTTTTTCTGTACTTCCCCAAGAATGAAGCTGCAACAAGTGAAGGCGAAGAAGGCAGCAAAAAATGCTGGCAAGTGAATCAGTAGAAAGCAAATTAAAATGTTAAAAAAAAAAAAAAATCTTACCTCTTCCCAAGGCTGAGGATAATTCCTTCTGATGTAGTGAATGCTTGCATTAAGGAATGGTGACCAGTGAGTGTCTTCAGACACGTCATGGAATACTCCTATTGCAATAAAATTGTATAAGTATTTAATTTATCATTTTGTTTAAAACAAACAAACAAGTTTTCTCCACAAAGAAGCCAACACACAAAAACCAAACAAACAAAAACAAACAAACAGAATTTTGTTCAATTTCATATTGTACAGGTGTACTGGGTTACATGGCAAGGGCTTGGTAGCAGGGGGCTTCATGGGTGGCCTCTGTGAGCAGAGGCCAGCAGCTGCCCCATGTTAGATAAGAGACAGCTCCAGCCATCTCCAAAGTGACCTACTGCCGGCTAGAGCCAAGCCAGTGAGTGATACTGGTTGTGCCTCTGGGAGAACAGATTTAAGAAAGGGAAAAAAAATGATGTGCACCCATTGCTGGGAGAGAAAGGAATGAGAAACACTCACTCCTGAACCAAGGTCAGTGAATAAGGGGGATGAGGTGCTCCAGTCGCTGGGGTAGAAGTTCCCCTGTGGCCCATGGAGAGGCCCCTGGTGGAGCAGGCTGTCCCCCTGCAGCCCATGGGTCCCACATGGAGCAGATCTCCAAGCTGCAGCCCCCCCATGGGTGGAGGAGCCCCCGGTGGAGCAGGTGGATGTGGCCTGGAGGAGGCTGCGGCCCATGGAGAGCCCCCGCAGGAGCAGGCCCCAGGCCGGAGCTGCAGCCCATGGAGAGGAGCCCACGCAGGAGCAGGGGGTCTGGGGGGAGCTGCCACCCACCCATGGGGGATCCGTGCTGGAGCAATTTGCTCCTGGGGGATGGATGGACCCCATGGTACGGAGTCGTGTGGGAGCAGTGCTTGAAGAGCAGCTGCCTGTGGAAAGCCCCCGCGGGATCAGTTTGGGAAGGACAGCATCCCGTGGGAGGGACCCCATGGGGAGCAGGGGCAAGGAGTGACCATGAAGGAGTGGCAGAGACGAAGTGTTAGGGACTGACCACAGACCCCATTCCCTGTTCCCCTGCACTGCTTAGGGGGCGGTAGAAGAGGGTGGATTGGGGGAAGGTGTTTTCGTTTGTGTTTAGTACTTCACTGCTCTAGTCTGCTAGTGATAGGCAATAAATTACATTAATATCCCTTATGCTGAGTCTGTTTTGCCTGTGATGATAACTGTTGAGTGATCTCCCTGTCCTTATCTCAACCCTTGACCTCTTTCCATCATATTTCCTTGCCCTTTTTCTTTGAAGAAGGGGAATCACAGAGAGGTTGTGGTGTAGCTGCCCAGCAGGGTAAAATCACCACAGCAGGTGACTCACTTTGCAATCTGCCTATATGGCAAGAGACAAATCAGCCATATTTTGTATGATTTATATTTTCAAATGATATGCTAGATTTATCTTATGTGATCTTGGTTTGAGGAAACTGGAAATTTTGTATCTGCTCCCTTTCTCTGTGCCAAGGGAATATCCCTTCTCAAGTGGAAAGCACAAAAAGAGAAGCTGTTGAGTAAACTAATGCATCAAATTCTATGGAGAAAAGCTGATGAGCATAGCAGTTAACTCAATACCTTTGGGACAGATTATCAGTTTGCACAGGGCTGAGGAAGGCTAAGTCATCATGATCATTTTTGACAGAATTGAAAACTTGCCAAGTTTTCTGTGTGGTTTTAGAAAGGCGAGGAGGAAAGGAGGCGGAAAAATCCAAAGGTCTCCCTTTGAAGCATCAATTATTACTCTCGCTTAGATTTGTATATCAGAGATTCTGTAGGATCTGCCAATGACCTTGCCTAAAATTTTTTCTGTACCTTATATAAAATGGAGGTCAAAGTAGTACTGAAGTGATAAAACCAAGCAGCACAATATGAAATTATATAAATGAGTAGGGGGAGGAAGGTAGGAAGGAGACATTCTTTGGGCCATCTTGGAGGAACAGAGTGTGTTTGTTCAGACAGAACTGTGAAACTGCAGAAGATTAAGGTATATTAAATGCTAGAACTGGGAGAGCAGACCTTTTGGTTGATTTAATCACTTCCTGGCCTCTTGACATTTTAAACTGTAGCTGAACTAGATAACATAAAGGAATTTAGGATGGTATTTGTTAGACCAAAATTAAATATTCACAGAATAGACTTCTACATCCATGTTTGTTTCCTGCCTGGAAAGGCAGTCTAGATGTCTATGATGCTGATCTAGAGGCACACAGTTCAAGCAAGTCAGCTCTGTAGAGATACCTGTTTCTTCCACATTGACTAAGGAGATTGCTTAGTCCAAACATGGCCTGAACAAAAAACAGGGCAAGATGGACCTCAGTGTTACTGAATCAATACAGACTGGAGGCTGCAGGTGGAGAGGCTCTGGTCACTGAAGTGGTATAAGCAGAAATCAAAACTGTCAGAAGGGAAAGAAGAGGTAGATAGAAATAATCAAGTTAAGGAAGAAATTGAACAAATCCTAGGAAAACATCAGTCCTGAAAACAAGGCAAGGGAGACCAAAGTCTGGGACAAAATGTTAGCAGAGCCTGGTGGATGACCAGTAATAGCAACTTGGTTAAGTGACATGAGACAGAACCAGCAGAGGGGCAATCTGAAAGTGAAAAGAACACTATGAAAGGGAAGATCCCCCTTTAGTATGCTGGATGGAGCAACCTGCCTGTCAGAATACACACTCAGCAGTATCTGGGATAGCTAAGGGTCAACAACCTATGACTGAGAGTTAATCAGAAGTCTAGATGCCACTTCCTGATTTAAGACTCTAAGTAGATCAAGAGATGAGAAAAGAGAGGGAAAAGTATCCTTGGAAAGACAAATAAGGATTTTGCATTTTGAGGCAGGAAAACAGATATGAAGATAAACAGATACACTAGCAATCAGCTGAAAAACATGTAAAAGATAAGGTAAACAGAAAAAAAAAAGATCCTAAGAATGCTCTGAATTTAATGGATCTGGATTTGCATGAACCACTAAAATAGACCACCTACCCTCAATTTATTAACCCTCAATTTGTTAATCGGCCAGATAACCTCACACAAACTAAGTGTCACTGCCTTGTTTCTGATGTCTGCATACACATCCTGATAGCCTGTTTATTGGAGGACAGACTGTCTTTGCCCCATTTGCCAATTTCTCACTATCCAGATTTAACATTTTGGTAGCAAATATCCAGTACCAAGATCTAGCTGGCTGATTAATAGTTCTGATGTTGCTGATTATGAGCACAAGCTGACTGTATGAGAATTGGAAAATCAGGACTAGCTGCAAGTCTAGATATACTCTTTACAGTAACAGGAAGGCTAATTTTGTAGTGCAGTCTTTAGATCTGCAAGCACGAAAACTAAGCCTGACACATATTTCAAAGAGGGACCAGTAAAAGGCAAAAGACAGTATGCATTCTAGAAACAGAAGACTTTTAACTGACATAGAATCACAGAATCACGGAATAGCCCAGGTTGGAAGGAATCTCAAAAGGCCAGTCAGGTCGAACCTTTCTGAGGAAAAGTAGAATTATTTGGCACGTTGCCTAACTGCATCGTGAAAATCTCCAGCAATGGGAATTCTGCCATATCCCTAGGAAAGTTGTTCCAGCAACCGACTGTTCCCATTGCAAAAAAAAATTATTTATAATATCAAGACAAAACCTTTCCTGGTGCATCTTGGTACATTGCCTCTTGTCAAAAGATCACAACACATTAGTGTCACTTTCTTATTTCTTTAGCAGCAAGTCACACACTATTTTTTTCATTCTCCTGTCATCTTTGTGACTGGTCTGGCAGAAGCTAATACTTCCTAATATAGAAGTTAGCTCTACGCTTTTCCTATGACTTAGAAAAAATATTTTTTTATCCTCTCAATTCCTCTCCAAGTCAGTACTCAGTAATCTAACCTATTTTATTCAAACAGCATCCTTTCATCAAATTGCTGTACATATTAAACAGTTAAATTTACTCAGAAGTTATTTTCTGAAAATGTTTTCAAAAGTATTGTTATAAAGTTCTACTAAAAGGCTCAAAGTGCTAACAAAAATGGTGGATGTTTTTACAGGATGCTTTTGGCCATAGTTAATTTTTTACAACACAGCTATTTTCAACCCTACTAAATTCTGTAGCATTTTCACATAGTGATACAGTTGTTATGATATTGGACTCAAAAATCTTTTCTTACCATTTTTGCAGATTGAAGGATAAAAGGCATCAGGATAAATGCTCCCAGCCTGAAACGCATCTTGGTGGTTTAGTAACAACTGGGAAAAGGATAGGGGTGGGAAAAGGAATCAGAATGCTATTACATAGCACAAAAACACTGTGTAATGCCAATGCCAAAGATAAACTTTAAATACTGCCAGCAAGACATGACTATTATCTTAGTAAAATACATCATTTCAGTGTCAGTTGTCATCATCATCCTCACCCCTACCCCCACCCCACCCTCAATCCTTCTAAGTGAAACCAAACTAATCAGTACACACTGTAACTTGAAAGGCCATTTAGGAAAGTACTTATATGATGTAACTTGGGTACTCCTGGTCACCTTCTGAAGGTGCCCTCTTCCTCTTGGCTAGACACAAAGCCTACGCTGCTAACTTCCATTCTCTGAACCACGCCATATCTATCTACTAGAGACAAAGTCAATACTTCCCTTGAGTGATCTCCTACTTTCATAAAATATCAAGTTATATAAACTGGTCTTATTTACATTGTCCTAAAGAACATTAAATGTGTTTTAAACACAAAACATATGTGTTTGTTTATGTGTTTATGAAAACTGTTGACATGTTTAAAGTGCTCTGATGGATTTTTCAACAATAAAGTTACAAATACAGTTTAGGTACAGTAGTTACACACATATTACTCACAACTTATAATAAAGAAAGGTAAGAAGACAGAAAAAGACTCAGAAGAAAGGCGTAGACAGTTAAGCAATAATATGCTTCCTACCTGTCTGTAATTAACATTCCCTTCACGCGAAATGAAAAATTCCAGAGCTCTGTGTGCTGAAAAACAACATATTGAAGTATTGATTGATACATATTGTAACCAGGCCAATGGTTTCTTAGATGCATTATCAAAAATAGATTATACTGCATTATCATACCTATGCCAACTGGCACAGGCATAGGAAATATTTCTTCTCCAAAAAATCTGTGCATGTGAGATGGTCTAGGGACTGAATACAGGAACGCTGTTTCTGTGGCACATCTGGAGACAGAGGTCTCATCAGACTCTCTCTCAACCCAGTTCTCAAGATGACCAACAATGATGAGAATGTCTGACAGCAACTAAAAAGAAGCTCTTTATGTCCCGAATTGGGCTACTGACAGCGGAACATGGAATACACATGGAATATGTATCATAACTTTCTAGCTGTAAAGGACCCACATGAATTGTATTTAAGTTTCACTGCCCTCAGGAATCAACACATTTACCAGTTTGATTAATTTTTAACGTGTATGAAAAACAACCAATATCTAGAGCCAGCAAAATAAATAATGCTATTTATTCACTGAATAGGTAAACATTCTTACTGCCAAATTGTTTATTAAGCAAGCAAAATAAAAGAATGAACCAAATTTATCACTTTTCTTTAATGAAATTTCATTCTAATTAATGTTAAATGCGCTACTTACAAACTAAGACTGATTTCCCTGTCAATATAACCCAGAATATGTTGAATTTAAAGAGATCCTTACCAAAATAATTAAACCACAAAAAAATCTACTCTCATTCTGGAATAAGATACAGACAAAACCAAATGTTCAAATTATTTGAATCTTACACACTGCTGTTTCAAACCATGCTTATGCAAATATGTTAAGAGATACTTAAGGACCAAGCAACAAGCTTGTTCCTGCAACAAGCCAGGAATTACGTAATAAAAATAAATAAATAATAGTGATAATAAAAATCTCGGTTTTGCATTTTTTTCCCCTCCTGTCTCCTACCATCCCTGACTTGTTACTCAGATAGCCCTGATCCCACCAGCTCGCCTTTACAATGAACTTTGTGGAGGGATCTTTACAGTCCCACACAACCCTGTTGTTGTGCATGGAAGAAAAGCCCGTTTGCTTAAACCTGCCTCCCAGAACGAGGCCATGGCAAGTAGGACACAGCGCAACACTGCCGAGCACATTGCACATGATCAACATTTTGAACAGGCAGAACTTTTCACCATTTTAAAGTACTTTCAGGAGTGTGTCCAGAATAGACTTTGGTGCTAGTTTTGAGTCATAGGAGTTCTCTCTCTCTTTTTTTTTTTTTTCCTGGAATATTCAGTGTTTGGATTTGGCAATAACATCCTTTATCTTATCGTTGTGAAATTTTATTTGTACAGTAATAAAAGTGCAGTTTTTAGCAATATCAGAACTGAACCCATTTTAACGTTATTTTCAGACAAATGGACAATATTTGTTGTAAACACTGGTGCAACAGTTAGGTGTATGCATGATTTCTCAGACAACCAAGATCTTCAGATTATATAAAAATCAGGTTTTCTGTAATATGCTTCCCTGATTAGATTGAAACGACTGCTTTGGGGCAGATCTGTAAGATCGTTTCTCTTCCCAGATTTCTTGAAAACACTCTGTATTCTGTCAAATATGTCGTTTCAAGTTTTCAGAAGCTCACATTCAATAATTAGGGCTCAAGGCTTACAAAGTTGTATGCGTTTGCCTAACTTCAGGCAGTGTGACTTCTCTTAGTGATTACTACGTGCTTCTTGACATATCATTAGGAAAAGCAAATGTTTGTAGGACACTGACCAAAGGTACAGGACACTGAGCATACTCTTGGTCTGAAACAAATGCCATGAATTCTAGGTTACAGCTTTTCACTTGTTCAAATTTGCATGTATTCAGTAATTAAAGTCTGAGATTACCTGAATACATACGGTATTATGTGTTTTACTTTCTATCTGTTTTGAGCAATGGATTTAGAGTCAGAAACTGAAGAATGACCAAGTAAAGCCGTCAATTAAAATCTACTGAGTAAACATTTGAGAATAACCTCCAGCTACCTATGAATGTTTTCTCAAGAATTACTGCAGAAACCGGGTTTTAAAAATAACACGTGCAAATAAGAAATTCAAAACAGAAACATTTCCCCACTTTGATGTTGATTTAATTCTCTCAATTTTTCTACAAACCTAGGTTGTTTAGGCTACAGATAGCAACCTACCAAGAAGAGACATGGAACAAAATTTTCATGACGTTAGTCACAGACACAAATATAGTATTTTATTTATTTTATGCAGGTACAGCAAAAATAATACACAGATATTTGAAAACAGAGCAACCAAAAATTATTTGTGTTATTCTTTAGTTTATATTTAAATACAAAGCGAACAAACAAACGTTAATTTTAACAAAGACCAATATTTCTCTTATTTCTCCAGACAAAGACACATTTGTGTAAGACTTGGAGACACAAACATTCCAGTTACATAATGCCTGTGTTTCAGAAGACAGAAAAATACGCAACTAAACCGATTCAAGCACTCTGCTTGCAAAAATTGTACAGTTGCGGTTCAAACACCAAAACCAAACTACTCATTCATGCCATGTGTTTATATATATACAAATATATAAAGAAAAGTATGTAGAACACTCATTACTTTCACATTATTCCCTCCCGTTGCCTTCCTGACAAAACTGAGTTTACTTTTCTTCCCAAGCAATTCATGAAAACACATGAAAATTCGTTCTGAACGTGCCTTACCTATTTCAACATGCGTTGAGATCCCACTTGGAATACATCTTTGGCAGAAACTGCACAGTGTAACTACCAAAACACACCAGACCTTCAGACCAGCCATGATGCTGATACGCTGGCTCAGGCTGTGGTTTTTTGGGACGCCTGGAGCAGCAGCACTGTGACCTTTGGAACAGAGGTTACGGCACATGCCTGGTCTTTCAGACACATTGCTGACACAGCGAGTAAACTACTGCGGTAGCGGGAAGGCCATTTTATATCTTACTTCAAGTAATTTATATATAAATACGAGGTAGTCGTAGGTGTTCTGCTCTTTCTCTGGGGCTTTGGGCAGTGCAGCTGCCACCACCACACAGCAGCAGCAAGTTTTGTGCAGCACAGCGCTGATGGGCACCCTCTCAGAGGAGGTGCACCTCACCGCACACCTGCTTTTCGCCACCAGCTCTGCCACGGCCAGGTGCTGAGGCAGCGGGGAGGCTGCGGGGCCCGTCCTGCCCTCGCCTCCCCTCATCCCGCCCCGCTGCTCCGCGGCTCCTCCCCCGGCGCCGTGCCGAGCCGTGCGGCCATGGCGAGCCTCCTGCCCCGCCGAGCCGCCTCCTTCGCCTCTCGCCGCCTCCTCCTGCTGCGGCCCCCGGTGGCCCCGGTCCCGGTCCCGGTGCGGAGCGGCAGCGGGGCGCTGCCCGGCGGGCTGGTGCGGCGGGGCGGGCTGGTGGGCGGCCGCTGGCTGGAGGCACCCGCGGCCTTCGCCGTGCGGGACCCGGCCAGCGGGCAGGAGCTGGGCCCCGTGGCCGACTGCGGCGCGGCCGAGGCGAGGGAAGCCGTGAGGGCGGCGTACGGGGCCGGGGCCGCCTGGGGCCGCCTGGCCGCCAAGGTGAGCGGGGAGCCGGGGGGGGAGCGCTGTGCGGGGAGCGGGCCCGGCCCGGAGCGCCCCGCCGCGGCACAGCGCAGCCCCTGTGTCCCCGCAGGAGAGGAGCGGCCTCCTCCGCAGGTGGTACGAGCTGATGGTGGAGAGGAAGGACGAGCTGGCCGCCATCATAACCGCGGAGAACGTGAGCGAGGGAGGGACGGAGGGAGGGAGGGAAGGAAGGAGGGAGGGGGAGCCGCGGGGTCCCTCTCCAGCGGGGCTGCTTTGTCCCACAGCTGTGGTGCTGCACAGCCGAGCGGTTCTGGTCTTCTCCTTAGGCGAGGAATGCCCCTAAACAGGGCAGAAATCATCATGTAGCGAAACAAGGTTACTAAGTAGCTAGAAAGGATGTGTCCAGAAGTACAGTCCTGATAATAAGGCAGAACAAGCATTGCTGGCGATCACAGGCTGCAGTTCACAGAATCACAGAATTTCTAGGTTGGAAGAGACCTCAAGATCATCGAGTCCAACCTCTGACCTAACACTAGCAGTCCCCACTAAACCATATCCCTAATTCTTGGAGGCTTCTTTTTACTGCATTCTCTATTAAGGACCGGGAAGCCATCTGACAAGTAATTAACAACTGCAATAATTACAATATCCCTTGTTAAACTGATGCACAGCATCTGTGGCTTGGCCTCTTCAAGTGAAAGCGATTTCACTGAAACTTGTAAGACATGAGTTATGTCTCCATCAGCATCTTATTTTGTATCAGAGTGACCGTACCATTAAAGCAAATCTCCCGGTCACTTAACGTGTTTTGCTTTGCGTCACAGAGCAGCCTGCAAATTCACAGGCAGGCATCCTTTTGAGTAAAGCCGTGCTGGAAGGTACCACAGCAGCTTCTCTGTTACATTCCAACAGCAAATGCTCACTCAGTCCACAGGACCATGCCTGGAGGTGGATGCTGCAAAGTAATACACCCCAAAACAATGGTCCCTGACATAAACTTGTAACTTTTGCCATGGTTTGTATCATCTTCAGAATGGTGGTAGCAGCTAACTGCAGAGTTTGTAAATAACACTTCACAAAGTTGCAAAATGTGCTGTCCCAGCTCCTCATCTAGTGCAGGTACAAATCTGGGCACTGCAGTCAAAGCACTGGCTATATAATGACTGTATGTTGAAACCACATAACTATTGGTGGTGAAATCATACCAAGTCATTTCCGGAGACTGCAGTATATATGACACAGGATTATAAAGCATTCTGAAAAGAACTCTGAAATGACCTAAATTTATTTGTATTGCTTCAGTCTGCCACTTACAGTGTATCTTCAATCTGATTTAATCAAAGGGAAAACCTCTGAAAGAAGCACAGGGGGAAATCCTATATTCTGCCTCATTTCTGGAATGGTTTGCGGAAGAAGCGCGCCGAGTTTATGGTGATGTCATTCCAGCATCTGCAAAAGACAGAAGAATCCTGGTGCTGAAACAGCCAGTGGGAGTTGCAGCTATTATAACCCCAGTAAGTACAGCTGATTTTTGCAGATCATACAGAGGTTTTCAGCTCAGCCCACAGCATGGGGCTTTATGGCTCCTCTTGCCTCAGGAAACATCCCTGTAAAGTTTCATTTCTATCCCTGTGCCTGCTTGTTCCTGAATTGGCAGTACTTTCAAATGTTCACCTAGGACAAAGCACATCATGCAGGTCTGTTTAGGCAACAATCTAACTGCATAAAACACCTATTACTTCTAGAAAAACAGGAGGCAAGATGTCCCCAAGTTTGATTGTTCTTTTCTCTCATCCTAGTGGAACTTCCCCAGTGCTATGATTACCCGGAAGGTTGGTGCAGCTCTGGCAGCTGGATGTACAGTAGTAGTGAAACCCGCAGAGGATACACCTTTATCAGCATTAGCTCTTGGAGAGGTGAGCTTTTTATGCTAGGCTTTACATTAATAACGGACTGAAGCTGTAAATAAGAGCCCATAAATAGGGAGTCAAATGGCCTTTGCTGGTAACTGTAGCCAACTGCATACATGAAGAAAGGACAAGTTGGCTGAATTGATTCAGAGGTTTTAGTTCATTAGAAATCTTTGGAAGTTGCCTCTAATGTGGTCTAGAGCCTAAACGCGTACATGGCCATTGAGCCACAAGAAACATCTTCATATCCTTCCTTTGGCTTAAACGTGAGTGAAGCTGTGCTCCTAACCACATGGCGTCTGTTAGCTGTGCTGTGCACCTTGGGCTCTTACTGGCTTGCAGACTGATTTCATCAAAACAATAAACATAAAGGGACTCTTCCTAATACAAAATGCACTGATAATGCAAATTCTGTTTCTCTTGTTGCAGCTTGCAAACCAGGCTGGAATTCCTGCAGGAGTGTATAACGTTGTTCCTTGTTCCAGACAACAGGCAGCAGCTGTAGGGGAAGTCTTGTGCACTGATCCATTGGTAGCCAAAATATCTTTTACTGGCTCCACTGAAACAGGAAAGGTACATAAGTGCGCAGAATATCCTTGAAGATTATTACTGTGGTTGTACTGGAAAGGTAGGGGAAAATGTGTGCTTCCCAATAGAGCCTTCTCCTCTGGCTACTGTATGCAGACAGTCTAAATATGTGTGTATTTGTTGAGATACTGTATTTATTTTGGTGTCAGTACTTCATAGAAGGATGTCTATGTGCAACTTCTGCATAATTGTCCCTCATTAAATTATAACCTGAACAGTTCTGTATAAGATGCTCGCATTACATATCATACTGTGACAGCATGCTAATAAGAATGCTGAAACTGAATTTCAAAGGTGCTGTTTGGCTGAAAGAAATTCTTAGAGAAGTGAGACCTTTGCATCTCTTATAAAAAAAGCTGTGATACCTAAGGCAAATCTTAATCCCAAATTTTGTCATATATCGGAAAATTGTAAGAGTTGTCAAGATTTCTATTTGTGAAAAGGAAGTGAACAAGCAAACAAGTGACAATATTAGTATATAAAAGCCTGACCTGAAGTTGATGAAAATCCTTTTCTTCATTATTTCTTGGCCAGAATGTGGTCTCTCAAGATTGTAATGAGTGAAATTAGTCCTTGTATTTGTGATGGGACAAAAAAGATGGCCTAGCATTAAAGAGAAGATGCAGATTAACTTCCTGCCAGAGGTAGCTTTTCACTGCCTTCTATCTGTAAGCTCTGTGGTTCCATAGTTTACCTCTGGTAGAGGTACAGGTTTCCATGTTTCCTCAGATACTGCTGAAGCATGCAGCTGGCACCGTGAAACGAGTTTCCATGGAGCTTGGAGGGCATGCTCCTTTTATAGTGTTTGACAGTGCTGATGTGGACCGTGCTGTGGCAGGAGCCCTTGCTTCTAAGTTTAGAAACTCAGGACAGGTAAGAGTAACCATTTTGTCTTTGTTTCTGGAAGGAGAAGAGCTGTATATATAGTTTAAGCTGTATAAATAAACTATCTTATGTAAAGGGAAAGCATAGAGCAATTCATTGTGAAGAGAGAGATGCTTGGGGCCACACATGGCTCTGGGCACTTAAGCCAGTTATCAGGCAGCAAGTCCAAATAACAATGTAGTAAAATCCCTTTTTTCATACTTTCATGGACATAGAAAGATAAATGGCTGTTACTTTTGAGAGACTGTAGTAATCAAAATAGGCTGCAGTAACTGTAGTAACCCGACATTGTGGCATGAAAGCCAGAATGAATTCATAATGAAATACAATATAAACTACTGTTTGCTTTTCCTTTTCATATTTATTTTCAGACATGTGTTTGTACAAACCGTTTCCTGGTGCAAAAGGGAATCCATGACAAATTTGTGGAAAAGTTTGCTAAAGCCATAAGGAGCGAGCTACGTGTTGGAAATGGATTTGATGCAAATACTACCCAAGGGCCACTAATTAATGAAAAAGCAGTAGAAAAGGTACAAATAAAAGATTTCATTTTGATACCTTTATTTCCTTTTCATGATCCATAAGGTAACTTTGGAACTGTATTTAACTTTTTTCAAGTTTTTTGTTAGAAAGAATGAGCAGTGTGGCTGGGAGCTTGTTGCCTCTTCCAAACCCACGTGTGTATGTAGAGGAACAGATGTGGCCAGTTAATGTAAAAGAGATTCCTCCATTAGGAGGGAATGATTCTTCCTAATTATTTCCTGTCTGTTCTCAAGAAGAGCATTTACTGAAATGTGATACACCACGAGAGTTTGGTGGTGATTCTACAATTCTGAAGCATTGTGATTGAGAACTTGCCTTGGAGACGAGGGCCTCTAGCAAAAGCTAAGCAAAATCACACACTGAGGTTAAAAATACCAGAGCACTCAATGCTGTAATCATTTGAAATCTTCTATGCATGTCTTGGGTCTTCTGGTTTATATGACTCATGACTCCAGTAATAAGTAACATTTTCTATAATATTTCACCCTTCCTAAGTTTAAAGATTATTGAATTATGTGGTTCATACTTGCTAAGATACTATGGCTCGCTTATATGCTGGATTGATTTCAATTCCATTATACATGAATGCTG